AGGAGTGTTGAAAACAATAACTTAGTGGACGCTCAAGCGTCGTGCTGATGTGACCAATACTGTTTAGAGTGGACGATACCACTAGCAGCTGTTGGGGCTTAGAGATAAAGGCCTACAGAAGAGCTTCTAGGTTGCTTCTTCCAGCTTAGATCTGCGCTATATAGACGTCGACGAATTCACATATATATGCCAATGTATTTGAAGCGTCGTCCATGTCAATGTGTAAGTGGCTTTGATCTACCCTGGATTCGACATCGTTTACATTATATACTAGGCCAATATTCTCTCCACCTCATGACCCAAAAGCTCTTATAACTTGAATAGAATCGCTTCGATCTTGTCGCGCGTGTGTACCTCTTCCTTAGTTCATCTTCGCTAAAAAGTCGAAGGTACATGATGAACCAGTTACATCGTTGACACCGTCCGACGAATGAGCATATTCTACTTATGAAGAACCTGTACCCAAAATTACAAATCGACTTTTCAGGAAGAAAACTATAGAGCTACTTTGCAGTAGCATGTAACCGAATGAATGTTGTATCGAAAAGGTTGTAGCTTGTAGTGAACTTTGCTAACTGCGAGTCATTAAGCAAGTTTAAAACCTGTGATGATAAAGATCTCGCTCCCTGAAACCGACACTGCGAGCTCCACATTCAATAGACGATGTTGTCACATATCAAGTAGAATGTACAACCTCGCAGAATCAACAGCTTGTCTCGAGGTTGATTACGACATAGTGATCGTCAAAAGGCACAAACGAGGTTGCTACGAATTTCTATTATAACTCCCATGGTCTTGACATCGCTTGACATCGGTTGACTGCAGCGGTCTTACATATCCCATTGAAATTATAATAGATCGATCATAGTCATAGAATCAAGGATACCATTTCAACATTCAAATACGTCGTTTGCTTGTTGCTTGCTATGTTTCACTCGCTTTAGTTACACAAAACTAATGGACTATTTTACAAAAGAAGAATAGCAATGAAACTATAATCATTCACCTTCAGACCATCACTTATGCTAGATGCGAGAATCTATCAACTGCCATCCAGTACTGGGATTCGTCCAGCATAGAAATTGTCACGTTCTTCTGTTTCGTCTTCATCGGACTCTTTGATGGCAATCCACAAGATTCCTCGTCTTTCTCCTTCTCCTCTGCGTTGCCACTACAATATCGAAGTCGTTTTGTCGTCGTATAGTCATCGTTTTTGACCAAAGTACGTATGGTCTTTTCCCTGTGGTTAAGTGACTTCTCCAGTTGCTCAACATCTTTCACTCCATCTAGACTATCAATACCACCGTCTTTGGTATCGGCATCAAACCGAAGTCGTTTTGTCGTGCCATCGAAAGTAGCACCGGCTTCAATCTTTCGTTTCTTCATCTGATGCAATTGCATTGAACAATCTCTGCTCTTGGTCGGTTCCTTTTCCTCTTGTTTCTTGAAACTTGGATCAGTATCAACTCGTTTTGTCAATTTTGGTCGTTCTTCTATACTTCTTACCAGCGACTGACTCGTCACTTTTAATGGACTTGTTTTCTTCCATATCATCATCTTTATTAGCTCTTGCTCCCTCTGCTGTCGTTTCCATCCAGCAACTTTATCTGACTGTTCTGCAACTTTAACATGTTTGTTTCCGACAACATTAGCGCATCCTGCAACATTCGTTGCATACAGGTGTTTCTTGTGTCCTGTACCTTCTTCTTCTTCTCGGGGCCGCTTTATCGTCGCTAACGATGCAGACAAAACAGATGGTAGTGTCGTTTCTATAGCTGAAACAGCATCGAGAGTGGCCTGGAACGTGTTACATACGTCCTCGATTGACTTGGAGGCTCGCGGCAATTGTGGAATGAGAGTAATGGAGGAAGAAACACGAGGACTAAGAGGCAGTCGTGGGGCCTTGGACTCACGTTTCTTTAGCCATAATTGATACGCATTTGACGTCATTTCGATATTGTAGCAATATAATTATAATTTTAGGCTGTTTCTAAACCAATTCATTCTATAAACAATTAATTTAATTATTAGTCTTGTACAAATTTTATGAGGCACAACGTTATAAAAGAACTTTACATGTAAAAGACCCTTAAAAAACCATATGAAATACTATAAAAAATAGTACTATGCTGAAATACAGTGATACTATGATAATTGAGAAAATCTTTGCACTGCAAGCCAATAACTTGATTCCTCAAGCAATACAACAAGTTGTCCATCTGTTTCATTTTGCTGCTCAAATGTCTTTGCGTGTGTACTAACAGTCTTCATGGATCCCGAATTATTCACGTCGCTTCGCTGTCGTTTTCTTGTGGTATCATTATCACAGACATCAGAATTTTCTTCTAGACGTCGCTTATTCGATCGCAACGTCATTAGCTTCGACGTATATGCAACATTATCAGTCCTCTTTCTTAGAGTTGTCGTATCTTCAGCACCCTTTAGTATAGTTTGTACAAGAGAATTTCGTTGTACGGTTGTAACTGCAAGGGGTGATGTTTGAGGAGTATCCATGGTGCCGCTCTGGCAGTATGAACTTGCTCTTGTGTAGTAAGGCGAAGAAAAAGGGCGAATCTACAATTTGCTATTACTATTTTATAAGATATAGTATACTATTGCTAGCGTCGGTAGTACTGTAGTCTGTAGATTACAGTGTATATAACATAAATCCAGGACGTTTTGGGGTCAAAACATTAATGGTTTGTACTATTTTTAAAATGTAATCGTCTTTTGTAGATGCAAACATTCTCGTGTTTATGCTAAATCAGTACCCTTTCAGCGACGGACGGGATCATCGTTAGACAATTAGCATTGTTTGCCTTCCGTGCCGTCATTAGGAATGATCCAGCAGTAGTCCGCTCTGACACCGCCAACCTTTGTACTGGCAAAATCACTTCCAAACACCCACGAATTATCCGCCGTGTGATACTGGAGCTTGATATACTCCTTCGAAGCCTGTAGGGACATGAAACCGTACCCGTCGGGCGCATAGGTCCACAAAGGCTTGACCAAGCTGGCAGCATAAGCTGGAATGCCACTGGCAGATTCCTTTTGGATACCACCACCAGCACCATTTTCCAAAAAGTGAATACCCAATCCCGCCGAGTAGTCGTGTTTCTCACCGTGGGTGTGACCGTTTATCCACAAATTGAGCCCCAAGCCTTGCAAGGTGTCGAACCACTTTTTCATTCCGTTCTCCGCGTAATGGTTGTAAGGACTGTAGTGGCTGTTGACAATCTTCCAAGTAGCAGTCGACTGTTTCACCTTTTCCGCGATCTGAGCGCGCGAATCGTCGCCCCACTCAGAGAACTTGGCCATACAGGAATCAAACATTTCCGTATTTCCACCACAACAATACTCGTGGCCACGACCAGCGTCTCTGCACGCGGCATTGTTACCGTTTGAGTAGCTATAACATTGGCAACAAATGTGCGCGGCACCATGAATGTCAGCGTCATTCGTGTCAATGTTGAAAATGTCGATACTTACACCCGTAGCAGGGTCTTCAATCCGACGAATGTAAAAATGGTCCTCGAGAATCCAGCGCTTGTTCTGAGGGCTAACGTACTCTTTCTGCCACTTAAATTTGTTTTCAATTCCCTGGATCAGCGCCTCCTTGTTTTCGCACATGACACTCTGGCCTCCATTATTGCAAATGTAACTAGCACCTCCATAATCGTGGTTCCCCATGACGTTCACCCAAGGAATCGTAATAATGTTCTCGCCATTAAACTTTTCCTCGAACGTGGTAGTAAAGCGAGAGTCGCGCTCCTCTTGACTAACTATTCCAGTCCAGTACATGCTATCACCGTGTCCCATCACAACACTGGGCTTCAAAGAGGTGTTCCTCCCAGCCTCAGTGTTCATCAAACTTGCTACAATTTGTTCAGCATTTATATCGTAGTTGTTGAACGTCGCAGAGCGAGAGCAGCATGACCCTTGAGACGTAGTCGTGCCCCAATCGCCAATAGCAAAAGCAGACAAAGAGTACACTGCAGTGGCCGGATCCGACATCATTGCGGACTCCGTGACAATACCAAGCACGCCCATGTAAATAGCTAGAAGGTTGGGGTTAAGCATTTTGCAATGTCCGTAGTACGCGTTTGCCAGATAATTAAAGAATGAACAATGCACTACCAGGACGACAACGATGGGGAAAGACGGTCGAACATACGAGACCTTCATTTTAATGGTACAATGACATCTCCTATACATGGATTAGATTGTCTATCCCAATTGCCAAGTTCCAGTGATTTGGTGTTCGTATGTCATCGTATAAATGACGTACTTGCCATGTAGTCAGATTGCCAGATGGTATTGTATACATGTTGTTGCATGGTACAGATGCGACAAGAGTGGCGTGCCGCTACGACTCTCTTTTTTAATACCTGTAGTTGTATCGAGACGTCGTTTGTTGCTAGTATGGAATAACAATTTACATGGACAGACAGTATGTCGCATTTTTACAGTAGCAGCCGTGAATCTTGATGTGTTGCTACGTAGACTGTCCCATCGTGGCATCGGCGGCATAGGTGAAAATTGTTGTTAAAGCACTTGAGCTGTAGAAAACA